TTCAAATGGGCCGGCCCACGGGCTGTAGTTTGCCCACGGCTGCTCTAGGAGCTGTATCAGTAAAGATATTGCTATGACATATGTCTGATATTTTGCTGCCTATGGCTTCTTCTAAGATTTGTATGGTTTCCCATCCTGTATTCATTTTCAGTTTTTTGTGCATGTGTATGGTGTAAGTTGGTGGTCTAGTTTCATCCGTTTGCATGTATCTGTCCAATTTTCCCAACACCATTTATTGAAAAGACTGTCCTTGACTCCATTGTATGCTCTTGCCTCCTTTGTCGAATATTAATTGGGCATAGTGGTTTGGGTCAATTTCTGGGTTCTCTATTCTATTCCATTGATCTATATGTATGTTCTTGAGCCTGTACCAGGCTGTTTTGAGAACAATGGCTTTGTAGCATAGCTTGAAATCTGGTATTGTGATTCCTACAACATTGTTCTTTTTTCTCAAGATTGCTGTGGCTATTTGGGGTCTTTTTGGTTCTATATAAATTTTTGGAGAGTTTGTTCTAGATCCGTGAAATATGCTGTTGGTGTTTTAATAGGGATTGCATTGAATCTATAGATTGCTTTGGGTAATATGGCCATTTCACTGATGTGGATTCTACCAATCCATGAACACGGTATAAAATTTTATTAAGTTTGAAAAATATGTATCACCATAGAACAGAGTTTCGATCCTATCTTTTTACTTCGTATTTCAGCATGAGGCTCTCCCGCTGGTGCCAGACGTGTTAGGAGCACTGTGAGTGTTTGTATTGTGCCCTGGGGTATGACTTGGGTGTTCACTATTCCCATGACCTTTCTCCCATCGCTGTATGTCTCTTACCAGCGCTTCTCCCTTCTTTCACCCACTATGCACCTGCCAAGATAGATCGTCCATTAAACACAATCTTTCCGAGTCGAGCTCGGTGGTGGGGGACGCTGGCTTCCCTGCTCCTCATCCTAACGCCCTCCCCTCGACTAAGTGGTCCCAAGTGCTTCTTCCTGTGAAATTAAGACACGGTAGCAAAGAAAATAGAACCATGACTCTCTCAGGAGCATAAGGAGTCAGTCCTTTCATTTATCGAAAGCCCAGTTTTCATAAAATATACAGAGGCTCCAGTCCTGACACACAGGCCTAATTGTGAAGAATGAATGCACGGCGGTCACTCCGCAAGTGCTGGAGGGATGTATCTGTCTCCTCCACGCTTCAGTCACAAGGCCTCAAGCAGGATGGACAAGGGGACTTCTTCGGGCTTCAGTACAGATGGGACGGCCTACCAATGAAGCCATTTTCCGTGTCTTGTGTCCGTGTGAGCGCGTGGAGTGGGTTATTCACAGGCGTGTTTGCAATGGGAGGCTCAGGGAGCACGTTTTCCGTGACAGCTGTGTTACTAAAGAATGCTCCCCCAAATATCTCCTTTGTAAAACATGTATATTCTTATTGATTTCAGAGAAGGAGGGAGAGAAACATCACTGATGAGAGAGAATCATGGACCGGCTGCCTCCTGCACGCCCTCTACTGGGGATCGAGCCCACAACCCAGGCGTATGCCCTGACCGGGAATCGAACCATGACCTCCTGGTTGATAGGTCGATGCTCAGCCACTGAGCCATGCCAGCTGAGGCCAAATATCTCCTTTACAACAGGAACTGCTGCTGGAGGCGATAATAGGATAGAAATATTACAGTCCAGACAGGGACACGGAAGCAACGTTCCTCACCCAAATCCAGATCCACGATTCCGTGTTTCTCCCCAACCCGAGCCTCCTGCACAGTCTCTCTTCCGGGGTGTGATCTGCTGGCTTCCCGCTCAGCCCTCCCCCCTCTTCCTTCTTAATCCCGCGTTTCTAAACGACGCAACACATCAGCGGACGGGGGATGCTCTTCAGCTCCGTGTTTGATAGTTTATTATGTTATGACTCCCAGAAAGATTGACCCCAGACTTCATCATTTTTCTCTTTCTAATTTCTCTGTCCGCCAGCCGCCTTCCCCCATTTCCTCGTTCATGTGAACTGATGGGCTCGGTGCTGGCAAGCACTCCGTCAGCATCAGCCTGAGCGAGCAGGGCCGCTGGGGACTCGGTAATGAATGAGCGCGTGTGGGGAGGGGTCTGCTGAGCCCAACTCAGTCCCTGCGAGCGCAGACGACAGGGAAACGCATGAGCGTGTCCCGAGCAACCCTTTCAGGTGACAAAGAGCTGACAGGGACTTCCCTGATCGCCCAAAAGAACCTTTCATGTCCATCAACGGGGAAGCACAGAGGGGGGAGCGGGCTGCTCGCCCTTTCAGTTAATTGGGAAACGGTTGGTTTGAAAATCCGATATCCTCTAATGAACTGACCGGAGAGGGAACAGGAGTCATTCCATGGTTTGTTGCACATAGTGGGGCTCCGGAAATGAGGGGTGATGGTCATTTCCAAGCACAGGGAGTCATGTTATCTTTCAAAACAAACAAACAAACAAAAACTGCATGAAATCAGCAAGACGAGAAAACCAAGAGGAAGCCCTGAGGACAAACAACTCATCTTTATGCCTCAGTTTCACTTGTCCTTCCCAGGGCTTCGTGATTGCTCTTAGAGCCGCCCTCGTCGAAGGCAGAGCCCAGCGGGACCCTTTATCTCCATTTATAGGGACACTTCTGATTAAAAAGTCAGCTCTCATGTCCTCGGGGCGCCTCTGAGAAGCTGATCGGAAATCCATCCTAACGCACAATACATTCCGCTTGTGTGACCGCACGGTGGCGGCTTAGCGAAGGGCAGGGTTGTTCCTGTCGTTTTTCCAGGATGTGCACGCCCCTGAACGGGCTTCGTTCCCGCGAGTCAGCATCTCGTGCTGCACAGGGGCAGTTGGAGGCTGTGCGGGAACCACACGCAGATTTGCAGAGAGGAAGATGAAGCCGTTGCCATGTGCGCTGCGCCCTGTAGCTGGGCAGGGCCGCGGAGAAAGAACAGGCCTCCGGCGAAACCTGGCCGCCCGTGCCTTTGTCTGGCTGGTCCCTCGGCATCCCAGCTGTGATGGTGCAGGCAGAGCAGCGTGGAGAGTAGGTGCGGATTTTTTTAAAGATATTTAATTGCTTTTTAGAGAGAGAGGGAGGAGAGAGAGAAACATCAACTGGAGAACCAAACATTGATCGGCTGCCTCCCGCTGTTGTGTCGTAAATCAGCGCCTTCATGAGCCCATTAATTAGGAGTCGTTCATTGCACCCGGCCCAGAGGGAGGTGTTTCTTCCAAATCTCTGAGCGAAGACACACAGGAAGTTTCCTGTATTTATACTTTTTGAGCTTCTTTGTCTGCAGGTTTTACAAAGAGCTCTGTGTGAGTTATTGTTACAGACAGTTTGTAATCTTGGGTACATAAAGAACAAACATTTGGCATAAAAACATGGGAATTATTATCGGTATTAGTCCATTACCTTAGATGGTTGTTAGCTTGCAAGGTCAGACAGTTAAGCTTTTATCTTTTTCTATTATTCAAACAAAAACAGTTATTCTACAGAATAAGAGACTGTCTAAAAATGACAGAACAAGGGACTATCTCACAATAGCAGAGAATGTATACAAGATGGAGGTTAGTACGCTTCACCGCATGCCTCCTACCTGGGATCAAGCCCTCCACCGGCATGTGTCCCCGACCAGGAATGGAACCAGCGGCCTTTCGGTGCACGGATGATGCCCCATCCACTGAGCCACACCAGCCAGGGCAGCACTTGGACATTTCCAACTCTACAGTTGATGACCAAAGAGGGAAAACGCTCCTTTTCAGACCTGCCTTTAATTAACTGTTAATTATACAGATGGGCAAGGGTAGCAAAGTCTCCAACTTGTGTGAGGATCTGCAAATGTCTAGGCTACACGTGTGGCCTGCAGCCATAGTAAAGGGAATGTTGTGTAAGACCATCAGGCTACCTGGGATGATAGTTCATATTTTTGCTATTCCTTTTTTATATTTGGTTCCTTTAAAAAAAAAATCACCACAAATTACCAAAATGGCACACATCCTTTTTGTCACAAATCTCCTAATTATCGACATCGTTATTCTAAAACTTTTTATTTTAACATTCATCTATTTCTAACATCTATGCAAGAAAGCAGATGAATGAATATTGCGAATATTTAGATACATTTCTATTTTCTTTATATTTTTGTGATTTTGTTAGCAGTTTGGTATCATAAGCACGTAAAGTAAACTTGGATCATGGATCCCAACATTATCTTGTTAAATGAAAGGAGTAGCAATAATTACTACGTGCAATAACCTGTGTGGTTGCATGATACATCAACAAGAAAATTCTATAAAGTTTCCTGTTCTTACCCGTTGGTTACCAGCCTGGTATTTCAGGTTCCTTTATATTTTAGTAGATAATTAATGATGTGTTAGTTGTGAGAGAAAAAATAGACGAGAAATGGGTGATACGCTTTAGGGTAAAAGCGTGTTACTTTAAGGGAAATGGAGATTGCTTTACGCTGCAGGTGGGGAACGTCCGGCCCACGAAACCACTGGGTCTGGCCCTGCCCAGGTGTTGGGGGAGAGTTAATTGAACGTCTGACCGCACACAGCAGGCTCGTTTTTAAGCGGATGATTTTGTGTGGCCCGTGAATGAGGTTATACACATCCAATGGCCCCGGACAGAGAAAGGTCCCCACCCCCGCTTCATAGTCACGAGTCCTGTTACTCAGACGCCGTTTCTATGGCACTGAAATGCGTCCATATCGTTCAGTCATTCTTGGGCACCAGCCTGACCTGCGTTCACAGCTTTGTTAGATGAAACGCCAGAGGCTGGCTTCTCCGTGAATGTCTGTTAGGAGGTTTGACCCTTTAAAAACGAGGGAGGAGGTTTGCACCTGACCCAGCTCCGCACTCCTGGCTCGGCCTGCTCGGGTCTCTCCCGGCCACCCCTCGCTCTCTCTACTGTTGACCGAGAAAGAGCAGCCAAACAGGAACGGAATTCCCCAGAGTTTATCGGAGCCAAACCAACAACGTGCCTGGAGCGAGAGCTCAGATGCGCTGGAGCCTGGCAGCTGGCAGTTTCTTCTGTGCCTTTGGGTTCAGAAGGGAACCCAAGGAGAGTCAGGGATGGAGAGCACGAGGCAGGACTCTCCGTGACAGAGGGCAGGTACGTAAGGCGATGGATCACCCGCTCCCATGAGGGTGGTCACGCGTCTGGGGTCTGGAAAAGATGCTTTCAGAGGTGGGGTAACCTAGATGCCCAAGAACAGTGGGCAGGGCTGACTCGAAGCAAAGGTAAAACTTGTACCACCCCGGCTGGTGTGGCACAGTGGATAGTGCGTCGGCCTGTGGACCAGAGGGTCCTGGTTCGGTTTCAATTCCGATCAAGGGCATGGACCTCCGTTGCAGGCTCCTCCCCAGCCTGGGCCCTGGTCAAGGCTTGTGCAGGAGGCAACCAATCAATGTGTTTCTCTCTGTCTTTCCCTCTCTCTCCCACTCTCCCTAAACATCAATGGAAAAATATCCTCAGGTGAGGATTAACAACAACAAAAACTTTTACCAAAGAAGTTATAGGCTCGGGGTGTGACCACCCACCATGACCTGCCCAGGTAGGCATTTCCTATCAGATCCCCCTGTGAGGTCTCCTTCCATCACTGAACTTGTCAGATCTATTAGCGTCCCTTTCCCATTCACAGCACACGTGCACACACACACACTCACACACACATGCACGCACTCTTCTAATCATAACAGAATTCGTTGTGAGAGGCATAATGTATGTGAAGTGCATGTGCCTGTGTCATGGCAAAGTCTTACGTGATGTGGGTATGAAGTAGAGCGTGCCTGGCCATTGAACGCACCAGTCACATGGGCACAGTTCTTATACAAAGACAGACGGCACTCCACGGCTCTCGAAGAAGAAGCAAGTGGGCAGCCCCCCAGCCAGATGCCAGGGCGCAACAGAAACAGGCCCTATGCCCCTGGCTATCTCCATGCTGTATTTCAAGGCACAGGATGCCGGGATAAACGGGAGGACGTCATGAGCTGGCTGGCAGGGCCAAGTTGCCATCATTCACAGTACATCCAGCTATCGGTGGTGTGCGTGACTTAACACATTGCGGACGGATCAGGAGAATTCTCACTTCAGATGACACAGTGTGTGAAGTGCATGTGCCTGTGTCATGGCAAAGTCTTTCGTGATGTGGGTATGAAGTAGAGTGTGCCTGGCCATTGAACGCACCGGTCACGTGGGCACAGTTCTTACACAAAGACAGACGGCACTCCACGGCTCTCGAAGAAGAAGCAAGTGGGCAGCCCCCCAGCCAGATGCCAGGGCGCAACAGAAACAGGCCCTATGCCCCTGGCTATCTCCATGCTGTATTTCAAGGCACAGGATGCCGGGATAAACGGGAGGACGTCATGAGCTGGCTGGCAGGGCCAAGTTGCCATCATTCACAGTACATCCAGCTATCGGTGGTGTGCGTGACTTAACACATTGCGGACGGATCAGGAGAGTTCTCACTTCAGATGACACAGTGTTTTACAAAGCCTCATACTTTAAAAAGATATTAGCTTGTAAGAACATGTAATAAATAACTTCAAAATGCAAGGGGTATTTCATTTTAAGCCGTGCCTTTAACATGTATGTAAAACGTTTTTTGCATTCGTTCAATAGAAACTTACCTGGCCACTGGGTAACGCTAGCAATAAAACTGCTGGTCCGCAGTGTGTTAATTACCAACTCTTAAGTTTAGTGAATTAACGGTAATTTTGTGATAAATATAAATATGCTGGAGAATTTGCAGGAACAGATAAAATCCAATTCTGCCTTGAAGAAGCCTCTAGTCCAGCGGTTCTCAACCTGTGGGTCGCGACCCCTTTGGGGGTCGAACGATCCTTTCACAGGGGTCGCCTAAGACCATCAGAAAACACCTATATAATTACATATTGTTTTTGTGATTAATCACTGTGCTTTAATTATTTTCAGTTTGTAACAATGAAATTGGGGGTCACCACAACATGAGGAGCTGTATTAAAGGGTCACGGCATTAGGAAGGTTGAGAACCACTGCTCTAATCTAAGAGGGGACATGTTAGGTGGTACCAGGTAGAGGTGCCTGGACCCAACCATGTGGGGCCTGCAACATGGCAATGTCATGCGGCTCCTTAAAATGACAAA